CATCCCGGCCTTAAATTAGGACATAAGGAATGATTTTTTTTTATGGTAAGTGTAATAAACCTAAGGTTAATTTTTCACGAGGAATCCAAAAATGTAATTTGTTTGGAGGGTTTGACCCTATTTTGGGGATGCATTGGTCATTTTTCGCAATTTTTTCACTTTTTGACCCTCCATTTCATTTCAGGGGTAAAGGGCAGCCCCACCCAAGGTGTCATTTGATTCTCCGGAGTATCCTGAACATTTCATATCGACATATTTTTTTCCTCAAACCATTTCTAGTATGAGAAAATTGCATTTTTATGTAAAAACCATCAGACGAAGCATTGTAAAGAAGGGGCCATATCCCCACTATGACCCAAAAGGGGCCGCTGCCCTTTTGTCAAAATTATTTTTTTTTCATATCCTATCGGTCTGTATATTCAATTTTAAAATCGACGAGTGACAGTTGGGACGGTTTACTTGTGAGTTCCGAGAATTCCCTTGGATGGTATAGTCTTGTTTGAAAACAAATTCATTTCAGATTATTTTCAATTTTTGACTTGATTGTTGATACTTTTCAAGGCGGCTTTGGGTTATATTGATGTAAATAACAATTATACGGTGAGCTTTGATTGTGGAGGAACTATCATTTCGGAGTTTTTCATATTGACCGCGGCGCATTGTGTGAAATCTACACGACAACCAGTTTTGGTTCGAATGGGAAAAGTTGAGTCGAGTTTTTTCTTTATGAAAAAAAAAACGTATTTGAAACATTATTTTGTGATTGGTAGAGGTACTAGGTGATCATTGATTTAACCGTCTTCTCCCATATTTTTTGTAGTTTACTCTGTTTGATGACGACTTAAAAGCTGTGAATCGACAAATAAAGGTATTGATGAATTTTGAAGCAATTTAAATTCCGAGGTTTTCAATTTGCGAAGGCATTTTTTTATTGATATTTCTTTAATAGGATATCATTCGACACCCATACTAGTTAATAAGAACTAAAAAGAATGACATTGCATTGATTGAATCGACCAAAAGCATCACATTCACTTTGGATGTTGTGCCGGCATGTTTGCAAATAGAAATAGCCGATGTGGATCCAGATGTAAAGCTTATCGTTAGTGGATGAGGCAGCACAACAGCTGATCGTAATTTGAAACTTTACCACGAAATTGAAGAAATGATCCTTGAGAAGTGGTACTCATTTGTTATTTCTTGGTTTTTTACATTTTGAATGTATAGGAATCAACCGGCCAAACGAACTTCGCAAAACGGAACTAATGACGGTACCGCTACCGAAATGTAACGCAAATGAGTGATAGTTGTCAATGTGACAGCAGAGGGCCACTGCAATACTTCCCGACCACCAATTCAACCTAAGCTAAGATCGTTGGCGTCGTTTCATTCGGGTTGAGCTGTGTCTCGGATCTACCCAATATTTAAACCAAAGTCCCCTACTACTTTTACCCATTTACATTCAAAAAATGAATTTAAAAAAAAACAATTAAAATAAACGATACATTTTCGGAAAAACCGCTTTTCCGAGCCACTCAAACGACCCTAGCTCACTACCCGCACGACTCACACTGATCAAGCATGTATCAAACGATACCAGTTTGATACCGCATGTGGATTTGTAGCGTCGGGTATTCATATTTTATAGCTAATTTAGAAGAATAAATTAGAGAGGTCTAATTGAATCAATACTATTTTTAAAGTAAAATGATCAAAAATGAAGTGAAAATAAAATACAATTGAAAAAAAATGTAAATTCTTCACATTGAACCACAAACTTTTGCTAGCTTGAATTTATGTATTTCGGATAAACAAAACTGTTGTAATTACAAATGTAAGATCATTGACTAAATTTACATCATCCAGAATATTTTGTTCATGGTCATTTTTGGACGACGCATCGGTCCCATTTTCATCGTTGGGTACATTTTTTCCATTTCCATTCGCATCATCATCATATAGTCCATGTCCATATGCATGTCGTTGTCCATATGGAACATATCCCAGATGCGCTTCATCATCTTCTGGTACATCATCATTGCGTCGTTCATGTTATGGTTCATCATATGATCATACATAATTTTCATCATGTCCGGCATCATGTTCATGGCTGTCATCGAGATTGCTTCCATTCCTGTAAAAAGTCTTCGCATATCGTGCCAAAAGAAATGTGTTTAATGAATGAATGAAATCATACATCCAGAAATTCGATTCCATTGTTCTGATTAACGTAAACAAATGACAGTGAAAAAAGTAACAGTTTTTTGCAAGTTTTTTGTGCATTCTACATCATTGCATTATAATTAGTCGAACAGAAGAATTTGTAATATGAAAATATTCTTGAAACAGATAGAGCTGCGATAATGAAGCTTGTTTACATTTTTTATACCGAATCTTCTGTGTGAATTCTGGAATGACCCTAAAATCGCTTGGAATTGATCAATTTTGTTTTTGTGCATTGGTCTTGATACCGTCGCTGTGCTTTATCAAAAGCATTTTGGTTGACATGTGAATCTGCCATTTCACACTCTGATTGCTACAATTTTACTTGAGTGTCATGAGAGTCAATTGATAAATAAAAAGAAGCAGTACAAAATCATCACTCGAAAAGATGTTTTTTTTTCAAATACTTCTCAGTGTTTTTTTTCGGAATTTGTTTCTTCGGTATTTAAAAAAACAACAACACTTTTTAGTAGGTGCAAAGTTGCATCAGCAAATAAAGCAGAATAATTTGCTGTTGCTAGCTGACGCAAATTTTCTTTGAATGGCAAAGAGATGATGAATCCAAACAGAGATAACTTGCAATGATCACTTACTTTGTGACCATTAAACTGTTCCCACACCCGAAATTAAAGAATATATTAAGAGACAGTTTTCGACTGAATTGCATACACTTTGCCTTCCCAACTGCTCTCTGAAAGTCGGTGGATGTTTAAAAAAAATTATTGCATAAGTGCAAAAGAAGATCTTCTTTTATTTATTCTAAAACAGCAATTAAAAAAATAAACATCTCAATTAATGATTCCTGTTGTTCCATTTCCCCCTCCATTTTATTGCCTTTTTGTCCTCAAGTTCAATCAAAAATTAGCAAGCAATAAATACGAAGAACAAATAAAGCGAAACAAAATATATGAATTTTTTTCCCGACGGGTTTCTCCCAAGCGATTCGCTCATCCATTTAATTGAAGTGACGAAAAAAAATGAGTAAAAAAATTATCTGAACACGTAAAAAACCACAATGTTCCATTGATTGAATGTTATTGATTTTGCCTAAATTCTGGCGATATAAAAATTGAAACGTTAAAGTTGTGCTAAAACTGTTCTCTACCTTTAAAACTTGTGAGCATTATCATCAAATAGTAGCACAAATCTAAATTAATTATAAAATGAATAGAAATGATTTTATTTCAAATGCAAAAGTCCGTTAAATTGATCCGTGTTGCTGCTGACTCGATCCAATCCACCTAAAAAACGACTTTGGTGTAAAGAGATGGAGATACCATTGTCACACCAAACTGACACGATGCCAAGAACAGTGGCAATCTCTGACTCATTATCGTCGAAATATTGAAACGGTCCACCGCTGACACCATGAAAGCTATTTCTTTTTACTTGCTTGATTTGGTTTGAATTGATAAAATTCATTCATCCCATTGCAAAGTCCACTTTTTTGTGGCTTGAACAAATTATTTTCTATAAATATCAGGCCGCGCTAGCGTCCTATCTAAATACATTATAATGAATAAGTACAAACTAATACATATGCATTTCTACTATGAATACGTTTCATGCTATGTGTTTTAATTTCATTTAATTTTGGAAATTGAAAAAAAAAATATTTCTCGACAAATCATATTTTAAAACATCATTGCAATAAAAAAAAACTTCCAAGTAAGAATGAATATATTGATATTGAGTAAGAAAATTCGGTGAAATCGGTGAAATACTTGAATCAAACATAAACGTTTGAAAAACGTACGACGCGCGCCAAAGCATAAGTGATGTCAAAGTGTGTACAAAGAGTGAAGCAATAGTGCGTTTAATGCTATGTGCTATAGTGTCTCTGTTGATGTTGATCGCTGACGTTTATAGTGGTAGATAAATATTGGAGAGAATTATATAGTATTTGGTCGATTTGATGTCTATAATGTTGACTCAACTATGTAAAACAATATACATATATCTAAATGTTCTGCACGTGTAGAGAACACATTCGAAATTAAGATTCCCTTTTCCTGGATAAATGAAAATATGTTCATCTTGAACGAATATCACCGATTAACCAAATTACAAGACAATTTTTTATATTCTTCATTGTTTATTACTTTGAAAGGTAGTTGACTTGAAATACAAATCAAAAAAGAAATTATGCTTTATGTTATAATTATTGAAAAAAAAGAAGAAATTGAAATAAAGTTAATAAAAATGTTGAAAAAAAGAAAAGAGATTGAATAAGGAATAAAGCAGAATAGAAAACAGAATAGAAAGCGATAGAAGAAACACATAATTATACGGTTATCATAGACCCAACATTGTAAGCCATGTAGAAAACAAAGACATAAGACGCGATGGTGTCATCTGATCCATCATATCTATGAATGGTTGAAACCTATCTGCTCGATTGTTATTAGCTGGATTATTTGGTGATGTTCGTTGAGGTGTTGGTGGTGTATATGGTGGATTTGGTGATGTAGTAATTTGCTTTCTCAGCAATTTCATACCATCACCGACCAGCCGCAAATAGAAGTCAGATGAAAGATTTCCACCATCGGCATTCAATGGCAGAAAGTATTGATTTGTCGGTATCATTGATGCGTCTTCAGCGGCTTTGGCGATAGCAGTTCCCTCGTCGTATTCATCAAACATGGCAACAAAGACGGATGTAATATTCGACTCTTGACAATTCATGAATTGACGCCACATAAATGTTCCATTTAAGCGTGGAATTGCATTTCTGGGTGGACCGTTCCAATTTGACCATGCAAAACCTGGCCAAATGACCGGCTGATAGTCGATGCCAAGGCGATTGCATTCTTGAACATCACCTTGCTCTCTCGACTTATAAGCCAAAGCTGTTGGTATACTATTGAATGTACCAACACTCCAGGGCTGAATCATATTGGTGGCACGATAAACTGGTGCATAAGCGGGTAAGGAAATTCCATCGTTTGTTCTCCATGTATACGGTACACCTATTATGATATAATAACCCATTGACTTTAATTGATTGATTACATTCAACGACCCAGTCGGATTATTCGGTCTGTTGCCACCGGGCTCACCGAAGCCCATTCCCCATACGCAGATGACACGTTTGCCATTGTGACGTGCATACGCGGGTGATGCGGTGAGGATTGTCATGGTATTAAGATCGGGAATAAGCTCCGTTGAGAAATTGGCCCAATTTGATAAATCGTACTGGATAAACACTTTTCGGCCATATCTTTCAGCCGCACGTTGTACATTACCAGCAACGCCGTTCATTTGATCACGAGCTAATGGAAATTTGAGGTCACTGCCGAAACGCTGAAATGTAAAACGGTGTACTGTATGAATAAGATATCAATTTTGAATCGTGCAACCAATCATCATAACAAACCTGAAAAGACACTGTCTCAATGCCATATGTTTGCATCCAACTGAAATGGATATTTACGGTCGATTGATCCCAGGAACTGAACAAATTCGCTGGTTGCCCATTGCCTAGACTAGCCAGGCCCGTTTGATAGCGTTGTGTATACTCTCGCATATCCGGATACACCTCGAATTTGCAATTGCCCGGACTTGGGGGAATTGATCCATTTCCGGCATTTATCGTCCAATGAACCCAGCTCTTCCTCGGCGAACCATCAAAAGGAGTGGCGAACCATCCTTGATATCCTATCGACATTTTGCCAACCACATCGCTTGTTTGAGCAACAGTTTGGCCAACTAGCACAATAAGAACCGTCAACACAAAAGATTTCCAATCGACTCTGGCCATTCTAAATAGGTGCGGGCAAAATCCAAAACATGATTAAAATTGTGATTGGGTAAATTCTTACTAATTGAAAAGTCCACTATAAAACTAACTACTACTTACTAAAGATAGATTTGTTTAAAAACAAAATAGCAAAAAATTACCTTTTTCGTCTTGAATCTGGATTTTCACAGTTTTTAAAAATTCAAATTGAAATTTTTTGTAAATATACTCTTTCAATGCGCTTAATGGTAAGATTTTATCGATACAATATTTTATTATCAAAATCACCTTTCACTTCGGTTCAAATATTTTCACTGTCTTGGGTATTGGCAATGCTTTCATATTTATAGGTAAATGGTGCATTTTTTCTACGAGAATAAAATACACGTATACGGTTAAAATGCGTAAATGTTTTCCAGAACTACGTGAAAAGAAACAAACAATCAAAATGTATAAATAAGAAAAGCGAATAAAAAACCGCATTGCGAAATAAATAATGAACCTTTCGAGTAACATCCCGTTCGATTGCATTAAATGAATGTAAAAATGGAATTCTGGTTTATTTGCCGTGACGCAAATGGTGTGTTCAAAATATTTAATCAAGAGTACAGGGTTTGCATCAATTTCATTCACAAAAAAGAATGATGCATTTTTTATTGACATATTCAATGTTCACAACAGCAAAATATTTAAATAAAGAACGAACTGCAAAAAATTGAAAATATTGAATGAAAAAAAAACATTTCACAATTTACGTCATTTTTTCACAGATTGATCAGATAACCAGGAGAGATTTAAATGTATTCCAGCCACACGTGTAAAAGTGAATTTAAAAAACCGTTGAGAATGCTTTACTAAGCAAACCTTAGCGATGTGTGTAGAAACTGGAATTTGGATCCGTAGAAATATGTTGTTGATTCACGGAAAAAAACATCGAAATGCAACAGTGTGAGGTGGCTCTTTTGCGCACAACAGATTCAAGTGCCGCTTTCGTGTACACTGTACAGTGTACACCTCGTCTTCCATACGTGACGGTTCCATTGAACTCACGTGAAATACGTTATCAGAGCACAGAAACCCTATTCTACTTTTCCCATATTTTTTTAATTGAAGCTCATAAAAAAACCAAAATAAGTTCTGTTTTCATATTTTATTGCGACGTTGGATGAAAATATCGACGTCTTGTTCATTGCAAAACAATTCCCGTGCCAGCTTTTGAGCCCAAATTGACTTTACCTTTATTTACACAGTTCATTATTTTCTCAAAAGGAATACTGATTCCATCCGATTCATTTCTATAAGTTTCAAGTTTTGTTAGACAGCAATTTTGTTCATGTTCTTTTTTATGGTATAAAATTTGAGAATTCTATCGTTGTGAAACGCTTCAAATGCAAGAACAACTTTGATTTTTACCATTTTTGGCGATCGACGAACGAATGACAAAATATCATGCGTTTTCGATATAAAGTCGTTTGAAATTCACAAGGTCATTTGCTAGTACATTCATATCATTTGAACATTCAAAATCGCTAGTTATTTCAAATTAGTCATCGCCGGCAAACTTTGAAGCTCCGAAAGATTTCACAATAAAGTATTCATATTTCGAGTCTAGGGGAATTTATGTATTCGTGAATTGACAGGAATTCGCACAATTCGCACGGGTTTTGACTTCAAATTCATTCAAATATTTCACGAATTTTGAGAATTTTTTGCGAATTGGTCACACAACCCCTGCAACACACTAACAAAACAAAGTAAAACACGAATTTGCGATGAGCGCATTCAATGAAGTTCATTTCAATTCTTTACGTCGTTAGACGCACTCATAAACGCGACGAATTGAACGCATCAACAATGTTCCGTAGTGAAAGAAACATTTTTTACTTATAAAATTGATGTTTATCGCGTGCTACGCTGTCACAAAAATCAATTTTGCACATTCGTGACATTTTTTTTTTGTCTTCTTTATTAACAAATATAAATAAATAGTCTTACCTCCGTAAGACGAACTTTTCCGCACCGTTTTCATAGCGTTCGGCTTTTATTTAGATTTTGCCTAGGAAATTCATAAGAATTTCCCCACACAAATTTCGAACTGGCGAAGCTCTCAATGGAATGTGTGACTGTGTGCGCTTTTTATATGGTTGACATCACATCGCATCGCACATCGACTAATGTTCAATTCAAAGAACATTTTATTTTTTTCTTCGATTGAACATGTGCTGTGTAATTTTTCGTTTCATGAATTGTTTTTGTGTGAAGATTTTGAGCAGTTTTTCAGAAACTAAACCATAATTCGTTTTAAATTTAATTCAAATGTTTTTATCTCTTTATTGTATGAGACTGCAAAAAAATATTGATTTGGAAAAATTGGAACAAAATATGACGAGTTGAAAAAAATACCATTTAAAATAACCACATTTTTCTTGACCAAAATTATAACGCGTCTTTTTTACATTGTATTTATATGGCAGCCCTTTGAATTCATAGAACAACACATAGGGTGGAAGCATCAACGAAATTCATATTGGCGCGCTGTTTAGTTCAGAAAAAAATTACGAAATTACATTGATTTTCCCATTGAAATTGAGGGCGCTCGCGTCGCCACAGTTGTCATTCAAGTTGGTCTCGGTCTTAGCTTCCACCCGATGGAACAACATGAATGAACGAAGGAGTGATTTGAAACTCTCATACAAAAACGCGATTTTTAACAAAATTAAGCACAAAAAATGCTAGAAATTTTGAATTATTATACCGATTTGATACGAAAAAGGTAATTTAGCGGTTTTTACTGGGCCCCTATTAATTTGATGAAATAAATCGAGTGGGAGTGATTAAATCTACCTGGGTAGCCTATTTTGGGTACCTCTCGAACAAAAGTTCGATTTTTTGAAGGTTTTTCATAGGCTAGGTATCCTAGGGAACATCTGGGGTGGCTGGAAATTTAATGGCTTCCAAGTCTAACGAAGCACAAAAGTTTGGTACTTTCAGCATTTCATTTCCTATTCTGGTGTTTGAGCAATCGTGCTAACAAATTTTTGCGTACAGCGTACAGCGTACAGGGTACGACACACCCACATTAACAGAGCAAAATAACCACTGTATCGTGCTTTTTGGTGTCGAAAATGGATAGAAAAATGGTTTTTCGGGGTACCTAGGTTTTGGAGTGATTACAATACTTTTACACACGACATGGGCGTGCGGAAAAGTAAAAAGATTCAATAATACATTGAACGATCTGTGTCACAACTTTTGACACTTGTCTCGTAGCGCTAAAAGTGAGCTGTTAGACGCTTAGATGCAGGACCTTCGATTGGTCAAATCCAAACAGTGACAGCTGGCACTATCTTAGTTGTCATTCGCAGTGACAAAGCAGAAAATGTGAAAAATTCGTAAAGAATTCGCAGAGAATGTGCGAATTTGTAACAAAATGGCAATGGAACGATCAAATTCGATAGATTCCACTGACATAAATACCCCTAGTTTCGAGTCGATGCGATGAGAATCAACGTGCTCAACTTTCGAATATTTTCGACGTACTTATGGATAAGGAAAATCGTTCGCCGCAAGCGGTCCAAATTGCTGTATACAAAGATTTTTCAAATTGATACAATGCATCAATAAAATTCCCGTGGCTCATTTTGTTTTCACAGATAGTAGATCGTTATTTCATGCATTGGGATGAAGTTGTTGATTAGTTTTTTTCTATTAAAACACATGAAGAACCACGATTAATACGATTTTATTCTACCTGTTGAATTAAACAGCAAATAGCAAATGAAATGAGAACAAGAGATTACAAGCTTTTGAAATGTGAGATAGCTGAGGATATATATGCCAAGCGTATAAACTCAGCAACGTTTTGACTTTTGACTTACTGAACAAATGGTTTTTCATTGAATATGTTATTTTGCGCGCGTCCAACTAAATTCCTTTGATTAAAATGAGAATAAATAGTCTTACCTCCGTAAGACGAACTTTTCCGCACCGTTTTCCTAGCGTTCAGCTTTTATTCAGATTTTGCTTAGGAAATTTATAAGAATTTTCAGAAAAAAACAAAAGTACGTTCATGTATTTTATGGAAAATTGTATTATGATTCCGAAAATCTTGATGTTGGGTATTCAAATGAAATGAAACGTCTGATTGTCTTTATTGTCGTCTGAATCCTGAAACTTCATTTAACTTCTTATTTTCTACGCAGTTTTTGGCTTCAGATTTACCTCTCTTTCAAAAATGCAAAATAATCAAGTATTGAAAAATCTGAGCCTTAATCGAAGAACTGCAAATTAGTCAAATATTTGGAGAATGAACTTTGATTTTAATAAAATCAAAAAATGTGGACAGAAATAATAAGCTATCTCGACAAAATGTTTAATAAGCAAGTTGAATGAACTGATTTTTTGTTTGTTTCTTTTTTGATGAAATTAGACAAAAGTTACCAAACCGAAATCAATTGGTCGTTATTGCGATGCAACACTTGAAAACAAGTATCCAAAAACTAAGACAAAAACAATTGTATTATTTATTGTGGAAACAGCTGTAGTTCATTTGTTTCGTATATTCTTTCAGAGGTTGGTTGCAGATAAACTAATTTATATAAATTTCAAATATCAAATAAATTTATCCGATATTTTTCATGCGTTGTGTTGTTCTGACGCATTCGAAGTACATAAACGAAACATCAGCTGTTGTATTGGCAGCCAGCTATTCATCGCAGGAATGAGATTTTTGTTTTGTTCATTTACCAATATTTGTGAACAAGTCTGCCACTGTGTCACTACATAGTATATATAGTCCATAAGAAATGTGCAGAGACAAAAATGTTCGCCATTTAGTTTTACATTGCCAATACATTAGTTATGGAGATTTTTGTATTGTTTATTTTTTGTGGTTTGTAAACAAATCTGCATATCTTTTTGCATTGTCTCTACACACTTCTTATGGACTATATATACTATGTAGTGATACAGTGGCAGAATTGTTGACAAATAACGGTAAATGAACAAAACGAAAATCTCATTCCAGCAATAAATAGCTGGTAAATGCGTTAGAACAACACAACGCATGAAGAATATCGGATAAATTTATCACGGAGGACGATAGTCCGACCAGTGACGCTCCAATAACTGTGAATTTCAAGCCAAATGTCAAAAATGCAAGTTTTTGCGTCACGAGTATATATACCGGCAATTCCACAAGAAATGAGGGAAGAGTTGTAATGTGAGGTCGCCGAATTGGCTGAAAATTGGCTTGGAGTCTTGTTTTCGATAGAAAAAAAGAGAACCAAAATCTCAGGCCTGTAAGTGGCCC